CCCCAAAACCCCAAAACCCCAAAACCCCAAAACCCCTGAAGACATCAATCTAAAAATATGGGTGGTAAGAATAATTGATAAGTTGCAAAGTATTTATTATAAAGTCAAATTATAATAACAGTATATGCTCAAGAAGAAGCTACAAGCTAGTTCAGGCTCATAATGCTGGGGATCCAATTTAATTATAAGGCAATTCACTCAAAATTGAAAGTAATCAATCTACTGCATTGGCATTGCAATCGTCCTCCATCTCTATTTGTTTACTGCTGGAAGTGGCTTGATGGCAGCTGCTGCTAATATTATTGGTGCTGTTGTCCACATACTGTGATATATTACCCTGCACTGTATTAACGACTCCGCCTCCATGGACGCCTTGAGACTTAGAGTTCTTCTAGTGATTATGTTACAATTGTTACTGTTGCTACAGCTGCATCATGTGTGCATGTAGCTGAGGCTAATGCTGGTGCGATACTGGCTGATTATTGTGTTGGGATTGTTATTGAGATGATGAAGGGATGTTGTTATGGTTGCTACTGCTACTACCGCTAGGCTCAAGTCTGATCTTAGATACCTCATTGAACTTAGGCAAAGCGAACTTCTTCTTCACAGCTTACAGTTAGTTTGACTATGCTTCTTATAGTATTTAGAAGAGTTCTTTTGCAGCTTGCCTGATTGTTTGTTCCTTGTAGTGTGTGTGTTTTACCATAGCTTCTGTCCATGGCTGAGGATGCTTAGTCATTTTTAAGGACAAGAATAGTGCACTCGATGCTAGGTTTGAGGGAGAGTATTTAAGTAACTTGTAATTTACAAGTGCTAACTCTAGCAAGTATCGGGAGAGATTGAAAATTAATGGGTCAGTTTTGGCAACCTTGGAAAATCTTTCCAGGAATCTATATGATGAGGTAATCTGAATGTTGAAATCTAGGGCTTGAAGCATTTCTCTTTCCATTGATAGTATTTCTTCTTTAGTGTATGCGTTATCAGTAATGTAGACGAAATCCTTAACAATGGGTGGATATATCTCTTCGTATTTGCAGGCTATTAGCATGGCTGTAACTCCGACTAATTAAAGTCTCTGTCTGTTTACTTGCTATCTTTCGAGATATCTGTCAATCAAATTGACCGTCAGGTAGAGACTTTCTGGTACCAGCTTAAATTTAAGATGTACCTCGACTAGCCAATCGATGAGAATAGCTCTCATTTTCTCATTTATGTCTTCTTGTTTCTCCATATAACCAGGATTTGCGATGTTCTCGGTCTCAGTTTATATTAAAAAGTCGAATATGTCGCAGGCATACTCAGCGCACTTTTGTGGATCTTTGGCATCGGGAATATCTACTGGGTCTAGTTAGGTCTCGTAAAAAATCTCTTGCTGCTTCTGGAATTTCTTCAGTCGGCGACCCTTAGAGTCAATGGTTGCGAAATTCTTCTGAGCCTAAGATTAATTTATGCCATTATATGTGTTTATGGAGGATTGGGCTCTAGTCTGGCTAATTGAAAATTACTGAGCTAATTGGGTGGTATAGGTCTAAGGAACTACTGATTAAGCATTCTGACTACCAAATGACATATTTGCTCTAGTAGATCCATTAGTTTAGGTTCTGTCTTAACTCAAACAAGTTATAGTTTTTCGCTCTAAAAATCTGTTGGAGCTTCTCTGCGAGGTATTGATGTGCAGGTTACTTATCATGCTTTGCACGTTTTTGATATCTTATGGCTGAGAACTGTTGCTGTTATTGCTGACTGGAATGGTTTACTTGAGTTCGCTTACAGTTTTCATTTTGGCAAGTGAGTTAGTTGTGGTATTGGCCTGGCTCATGATTTGCGGCTGATTTAGACTATTAGAGGTGGGAATCATTCCCTAGGCACTCATGGGGTTTTAGCCAAGGTAAGATCTGGTTTTTAAATTCAGATGCTAAACAAATATAATACGCCATTATTCTTACTTTTCCCTAAATATTCTAAAATGCTTATTGCTTTTGTCCGTCGATCAACACATTTTGTGGCAAGTTAGAAAGGTCTCTGCCAAATGAACGCTTGGTGAAGCTGTTTCTAGGAGCGTGGATCTAGCCGGAGGTCATTTGCTTACCTACCATTGACCCACCTTGAAAAGTCTAGAAATGCTGGGCTGTGTCGATGTAATTCTATTAAGTATTGAGATTGCTTTGATACATGGGAATATTCTCCTGGTTCATCATCATGTTGTGCATCATGGAGGGTTGTTCATTCTCCTTGTTTAAGTTCTAGCACTGCTGGTTATTCTACAAAGGGTGGTGAGTTGGATTATTTTACAGATAAGTATTTGATCATCTAGGAATGTCTTTGTGACATTATGAATATGTTTGAGTTATTAGAAATTATTTAAAGTTTAAATTTTAAGAAGAATTCAAATTAACGTATATAATAAACTTAATAATCAAATAAAATAATTGTTATCCAGCCAACATGGAATCAAGAGTATGATATTCTTTACTCAAAATATCAAAATCTAATAAAATATAACTATAGAGCATGCACAGCCAGTAGCATCCTGGCTAAAGTTAAATTACGGGGTCATAAAAACCTGCTTTTAATCACCTATGGAAAATGTATATATTTTAGTTATAATAACTCTAAATAGATCTGATTCTAAAGCTTAAAAGAATGGAGCTCATAGAAGTGTTTACTGGGTCAAGGTAAAATGCTATAGCAAATTTATATCTTTTATAATAGAAAAAGCAAAGATAGGAAGATGGAAGCATTAAGGGTGAAAAGTGGCAGTAGGCATCAAGGTATATAGGTGATTGGAAAAATAACTGTAAAGATGGATTTGGTATTCAGTTTTACTAAAACGGAGATAAATACGAAGGTATGTGGGGAGAAGACTACAGACATGGCTAGGGAACATACTGGAGAAACGAAGCAGGAAAGTTGAGAAGAGAGTATACAGGGGATTGGTTCAAGGATAAGAAGCATGGCAGAGGAACCTTCTTCTATAAGAATGGAGATAGATATGATGGTTATTGGGTGAATGGCTAGCCATAGGGCGAAGGCAGAATGATATACGCTAATGAAAACATCTATGAAGGTCAATGGCATGAGGGAAAGAGGAACGGATATGGAGTTTTGACCAAGCGTAACGGTGACCATTTCGAAGGCCACTGGGTAAATGACATGAGAGAGGGGCAGGGCAGTTACTACTATCATGATAAAAACAAGCTTTTCGTTGGAGAGTGGGTTTAGGATCAGCCAAAAACAGGTGTCTACACTGAGGTTGAGGACGATGAAGCGGAAAAGATCAATAAAAAACCATATTTCACTGACCCATATATCCTTCCACCCATTTACGAGTTGAAACTAGTAAATCCAACCAAGATACTGGAGAGAGCTATGGAGAGAACCAAGCGTGAGAGATCTAAGTTTCGTGCTTAATACATTCCAATTGAGGAAATGTTCAGTCCACACGAACTTATGGATCTTAAACAAGCCTTTGAAGCAGCAGCCCAGGGTGAATCCTATGTTAATGTCTTGTCTCTAAAGACGCTCTTCTCAGGCATGGGAATATACCCCTCAGATGATATGCTAAACGAACTACTTATAGCTTGTGGCAAAACAGGCAATGAAGACGCTATATCTTTCGATTTGTTCGCAAGATCAGTTGCTTTACTTTTAGAAGAAAATGCTGAAAGAGGATCAACCAGCTCTCACAATGGAGAAGAATAGGATGGATAATAATATGAGGATGGCGGAGAAGAAGACCAAGAAGATGTAGGTGACGATCCATACTACAATGAGTATGATGTGGCAGATGGATCTTACTAGTGAAAGCATTATATTTTATATATCTTATTTAAATTACCCTCATTCAATCTCAGATTTGCACAATGGGGTTTTGGGGTTTTGGGGTTTTGGGGTTTTGGGG